AGCAAGTTTTAGGCCAGCTGGGGCTACAGGGAGACCCTGTCTCAAAAAGACACTTTGTTTTTTTAGTTCAGGTCTTGCTAAATTATCCAGGCTGGCCTTGAGTTTGCAGTTTTCCTGCCTCACCTTTCCTAATGGGATTGCAGACTCGTGCCACCAGACCCAGCTCTGATTTCTTTTAAAAAAATTTTTGCCGGGTGTGGTGGCGCACACCTGTAGTCCCAGCACTTGGGAGGCAGAGGCAGGCAGATCTTTTTTGGTCTTTTTGAGATAGGGTCTCCCTGTAGCCCCAGCTCTCCTGGAACTCGCTATGTAGACCAGGCTGGCCTTGAACTCACAGAGATCCACCTGCCTCTACCTCACGAGTGCTGGGATTAAAGGTATACACCACCACGCCCAGCTAAAAATACTTTTTATTTTATGTGTACGAGTATATTGCCTGTATGTATGTACCTGTGTCCTGCAATGCCCATAGAAGTCAGAAGAGAGCAACAGATCCCCTGGAACTGGAGTTACAGATGGGTATAGCCACCATGTGGGTTCTGGGAACCAAATCCAGGTTCTCTGTAAAAGTAACCAGTGCTCTTATCCACTGAGTCATCTCTACTGCCCCTAACTCTGATTTCTAACACTGATTTGAAGCCTATATAATTGTATGTAATCTCATTTATGCATAGATGAGTGTTTTTAGAACCTTGAAGATGATAGGTGTATATTATCACCCTTTTCCTGTTTTTTCTTGAAAATTAGTTTTGGAGGTGAAGTAAGTCAGAAAATGATTTGCTTGTAGGCTGCCCATTTCTAGGCTGCCTAGCACTTCTTACTTTAATGGTTGCAGATCAGAGATTGTGTTAGGAGCCTAATGACTGCCTGAGGGCTAGCTGTCCAGCTTCTGCATGGTAGCCCTGAGGATTGACTGCACCTGTGGCCCTCTGCTGCCTACCAGGTGCATAGAATCTCGAAGCCATATCCAGTTTGGGCTTGAAGATCTGTGAAGTCAGTAGGAGTAAGCTTATCTGTAAGGCTAAATAACTGAGAAGATAAATTAAGGGGTTGAGGAGGAAACTCAATAACAGAGCTTTTGTCTAGCATGCCTGAGGCCCTGGGTTCGAACCCCATCATGGCAGAAAAAACCCACAAGAGTTCTGTTTATTGTGCTTCTATTTATTTATATATTTATTTATTGAGACAAGGTCTCCTTATAGCCCCAACTGGCCTGGAACTTGCTATGTAAGACCAGGCCTACTCGGCCTGCCTCTGCCTCCTGAGTGCTGTGACTAAAGGTGCGTGTCACTAAGCCTGGCTTTATTGTGTTTCTTTGTAAGGAAGATGATAAAGTTCTTTCTATATTTTGTGTCATAATATATCTGTGTTGTGTCACATGAAGCATACATATGTGCATGACTTTGAGTTCAGGGGTTGCCTCTAATTGTACTGAGAGATGCGAATTTGGCCATGAAATTATCGTCACATGGATCTCCTGTTTTCCCTTTATAACTCCTTTTAAAGGCGGTTCACCATGATGCTGCACTTTAGGGGCATTTTGAACTTAAAGTTTGTCTCATGCTTTCAGGGAAAGCTATGGCTTTGTTTTGTTTTTAAGGCTCTGCTTTTCGGGATCAAGCCTCAAGACTAGGGGTTTCTGTGGGGATCCTCTCTGCCAGAATGTTGGCCTGCAGTATGGAACAGGTCTGCACCAAGCCCAGCCACCCTGTGCTGCTCAGCTCAGAGCAAAGAGTAAGAGGCCAGCCCCTTAAATGAAGACATGTCTATATTTTTAAATGATTTAGGAAAATAATATTTCTTTAATATTATTTTAGATAATTAGCTATTTAAAATTATTTTATCTCTTTTCAGAAGAAACTGTCTTCCTTGTTAGAGATTGCTCAGCATTTATTGGCATACAATATGTTCTCCCGTCTTACCTTTTGTCAAGAATTATGGAAAGCACAGGTAAATTAGAAGTTGTATGTTTGTTTTTGTGGTTGTTGTCTATTTGAGACAGGGTCTCCCTGTAGTCCCAGCTGACCTGAACTCACTATGTAGACCAGGCTGGCCTTGAACTCACAAGGATCCGCCTGCCTCTGCCTCCTGAGTGCTGGGATTAGCCCAGCATAAATTAGAAGTTGTAAAAGTCCCTTTGGTGTTTTTTTTTTTTTTTTTTTTTTGTCTTTTTGAGACAGGATCTCCCTGTAGCCCCAGCTGGCCTGGATTTGCTATGGAGACCAGATTGGCCTCGAACTCCCAGAGATCTGCCTACCTCTGCCTCCCAAGTGCTGGGATTAAAGGCGTGCGCCACCACGCCCAGCCACTTGAGGTTTTTAAAAGTAGTGTTTTTGTTGATTTGGGTCTGTGAGTTTTCTTAGGAATTTGGCCAAACATCTTATTAATTACAGAGCATAAGAAAAGGGGTTTGTTAAATGTCCCCAATGGTGGAAGGTAGTACCTTCAATACTGTCAGTCTCTACTTGCCATTTGTCATATTTATTAGAGTAATTTGCTGGGTATGATGGTACACATCTACAAGCCCAGCTCTTGAGAAGTAGAGGCGTCCAGATCTGTGTGAGTTCAAAGCCAGCCTGGTTTACATAGAGAGTTCTAAGCCAGCTAGAGCAATATAGTGAGACTCTGTCTACAAAAAAAATAGAGCACATCACAGAAACATGATACTCTCTGTCTTGGGTATTTTATTAGGAAGCCTCTTCCAGAGAGCAATTAGACTACTAAAATATAAGGGTTTGGAATGTAGTTCAGTTGGCAGAGTGCTTGCTTAGCATGAATGAAGCTTTGGATTAGATCCCTAGCTCCTCATAAACTGGGCATAGTGGTGAATGCCTATAATTCCAGCACTCGGGAGGCAGAGGTTGAAGGATCAGAAGTTCAATGTCATTCTTGGATTCATAGTAAGTTCTAAGTCGGCTTGGATTACATGAGATCTTTTTTCAAAAACAAAACAAATTATACTAGTAAGTTCTACTTGAAACGTTTTTTCCTATTCAAAACATTTAACACTTTCTTTTTTCTTTTTTCTTTTATGTGTATGAGTATGGAGTATATTGTGTGCTTGTGTGTAAGTGTATCCGTGGTGTGCAGTGCCTGTGGAGGTCAGAAGAAGGCGTTGGATCCCCTGGAACTGGAGTTATGGATGGTTGTTAGCTGCCATGTGGGTGCTGGAAATAGAACCCAGGCCCTCTGCAAGAGCAGTCAGTGCTCTCAACTGCTGAGCTATCTCTCCAGCCCCATTTTCTTTTTTGAGATAGTGTTTCCCTATAGCCCCAGCTGGCCTGGAACCAGGCTGGCCTCGATCTCACAGAGATCTCCTTGCCTTTGCCTTCTGAGTGTTGGAATTAAAGATATGTGTCACTACACTAGGAAAAAAAGCTTTATTTATTGCGTGTGTGTTTGTGTGTGTGTGTGTGTGTGTGTGTGTATGTGTATGTATATGCATGCATATGTGTGGAGGTCAGAGGACAATTTCCAGGGAGTAAAGATGCCTGGGTCATTGTGTAGAAAGGATTGAAAGGATTGGAAGTGACTTACTGGTATTAGGAGGAAGTCAGAGCTGTCACAGACTGGAGGGAAGAGGCCCATGTAGTATAGTAAGAGGTTTAGGTGCTGTGTGAATGTGAACTTGTGACATGAGTCCTTCAGGCCATGTTATGACGCTATTTTAATTTTCAGTGGGCTTATGGACATAGAACATTTTGAAAGAAAATGCATACATTGATATAATGCTGTTATTTTTTTTAGAACTCTTTGTTGCTTGAAGCTGTATGGCGTCTTCACGTACAAAATGTGGTGAGCCTACAAGAGCTGCTGGAGAGGTAGTGTAGTTTATTAGTCATTCTGCTTTACTTTAATGTCACATGACTATTTAAATTACATAGCTATATTATTTAAGCTTTTTTTGTTGCTGTTATTACATTTATTTATTTTGTTGAGGGAACACATGTACAATGCATATGTGTAGAAGTCAGAGGACAACTTGAGGGGTCAGTTCTATCATGTGGGTTCTGGGGGTTGAATTCCGATGGTCAGGCTTGATGACAATCACCTTTACCTGCTGAGCCATTTCACCAGCTAGTGTATGACCTATTTACTAAGAGATCATTTATTGTGATTAAAGTCTTTATAGATGTTTTTTCTTTGTGCATATCTTGTGATGATGATTTGTGTGTGTTGGGATGTGAGCATGTATGCATGTGTATGTGCATGTATGCACCTGTGTACACATAAATGTGGAAGCCAGAGACTGATGTTGGATGTCTTCCTCAATCATTTTCCAGTTTTTTTGCTTGTTTGTTTATTTTTTTTGTCTTTAATTTCTTTTGAGACCAAGGTCTCACTGTGTATCCCTTGCTAGCCTGGAACTCACTATGCAGACCAGGGTGACCTCACGAAGATCTGCCTGTCTCTGACTCCTGATTGCTGGGATTAAAGGCATATACTGCCTTACCTGGTATTGTCCAGTTTATTTTCTGAGACAGGGTCTCACTGAAACAAGAACTTGCTAATTTGGCTGGTCTGGCTAGCCAGCAAGCCCCAGGGATTCTTTTTTTTCTGCCTTCCTAGCATTGGGAACTGAGCATGTTACTGACTAATACATCTCCTCAGCCCCTTTTATTGGATTTTAAAAGCTGGAGAAAAGAGGGGGGAACTTGGGCTATAGCTCAGTTAGTAGAATGTTTGCCTTGCAGGCACGAAGCCCCAGATTCAATTCCTAGTACAGCATAAATTACATGTGGTGACATACACCTATAATCCCAGTATTGGAGAGTGGAGACAGAAAGAGTTCAAGACCAGCCTCAGCTACCTAGTGAGTCATGCAGTCTGGGCTGCATAAGACCATGTTTCCAAAAGAAAAACAAACACACAAAAAATAGAGTAAGGTTCAGGCCATAGAACTAGTTGGAGTAAACTTAGAAGGATTGAAATCTTCAAAATAGTTTACCCACAAAGGAATACACACACACACACACACACACACACACACACACACACACGTGTTCTTGTTTAGATTTTTGGGGGGATGATGTTGAGGCAGTGGCTCATATAGTCCAGGCTTGCCTCAAACTCAGCTGTGTAGCTGAGGCTTGCCTTGAACTAATCTTCCTGCTTCCACCTTTGAAGTGCTGGGATTATAGGTAAATACCTTCAAGTGTGATTTAAAGGAATTTAATGCTTTGGTTGTTAGCCTTAGCCTTTAACGGCTGTGCTATCCCTCCAGCCCCCCCCCCCCAAAAAAAAAAGGGAATTTAAGTAAAGCAGCAGCAGGTTATTTGGAATAGCTACAATATTTAGAAATTAAGCAACAACGTTTAAGTAACCAGTGAGTTAAAGAATCATAAGGGAAATGGAAAAAAATACCTTGCGATGGATAAAAATGAAAGCATATAGCAGAATTTATGGGATGTAGGTAAATAAATACTTAGAAGGAGTCTATTCTGTTTCCTTGTCCTGCGTCCACCTACCTCCTCCACAGGTGCTGGAGATCCAGCTCAGGGCCTTGCACATCTTGCCCATTAAGCAAGTACTCTGCCACTGAGCTACATTCCCAGCTCTTGTCCTGTATCCCAAGCTAACCTTGAATTTACCATTCTCCTGATTTCTCTTCCCCAAATGCTAGAATTACAGGCGTGTACCACCACACCTGCCTTAAAGGAAATTTTATTGCTCCAAAAGCAGATATTTAGAGCTGGCCATGGTGCCACATACCTTTAATCCTAGCACTCAGGAGGCAGAGGCAGGTGGATCTCTATGAGATTGAGGCTAGCCTGGTCTATATAGGGAGTTCCAGGCTATGGAACTGGGGCTACAGGGAGACCCTGACTCAAAAAAAAAAAGGCGGGGGAAGCATGTTTTTGGGAAAAAGAATGATCTCAAGTAAAGACCTTCAAGACTAGAAAAAAAAAAAAGTGCAAACTAAACCTAAAAAGGTACAGAAAGAAAGCCATAAGGATTAGAGCAGAAACCTGTGAAGTAAAAAAAAAACAAACAGGGCTGGGGAGATGGCTTAGCCATTAAAAGGTGTGCTGTCCAAGCATGAGGACCTAAGTTTAGATCCCTGGCACCCACTTTAAAAACTAGGCATGGCTGGGGGTGATGGTGCACACCTTTAATCCCAGCAAGTGGATCTCTGTGAGATTAAGGCTAGCCTATTCTACAGTGACTTCCAGGCCAGTTGGGGCTGTAGGGAGACCCTGTCTCAAAAAACAATCCCCCACCAAAAAAAAAACAAACAAAAACTAGGCATGACAGCATGCATCTGTAATCTGAACACTTTGGAGGCAGAGGCAGGAGGCTCCCTGGGGTTTAGTGGCCAGCTAGTCTATCTGAATTAGTGAGCTCCAGGTTCAGTGAGAGATGGTGTCAAAAGTATAAGTAATTGAGGAAGACACTTGTTACTGACCTCTGGCTTCCACATGTGTTGTACCTCATTCACAGGACCCCAAGAAGACCACCGAGGACCCAACACACCAAAATGCAAAAGCAAGGTTTATGGTTTATTCGGGCTTAAGCTTGGGCTCTCAGACCGCACCAAGGCAACAGATCCGTGCTGAGAGTCCGGAGTAAGGGAGGGTGGAGCCTTTTATAGGTTTTAGACAAAGAGAGGAGGGGGATACTGAAGTTACATTTTGGTTGGTTCAAGGCGCCCGCGCGCGCCAACATAATTTTAAACTGATTGGATGTATAAGATGCAGCCCTGGAAGTTTCTTATTGGTAGGTGCTATTTTCAGGGCTGTGGAATGTGCTGTTATCTGTGGGGCCAGGAGTCTCCGTTTTTACCTTATAGGGCAGTTTCATGCCTGGGCTTGCTTAATCTATAGTTTCCTGAAAAGGTGGGGGGTAGCAGGTGGGGGTCAGGGCATGCCGGGGTATGTCTAGGCATGCCTGAAGCAGCGGCCAAGCATTTTACAGAAGTTAAAAGAGCAATTAGTGGGGGTCTGGAGGGATTGGGGGGGGTGAATGAAGGGGGTCTCAGGGTCCTACACATGCACATACATGAAACACACCAGGGAAACACACACAGGGAAACCTGTCTCAAAAAGACCAAAAAAATTTTTTTTAATTTTTATTTTATGTGTAATGAGTGTTACAACTACATGTATGTAAATGCACCCCTGTCGTGCAGTACTCATGGAAGCCAGAAGAAGGTATTGGATCCTCTGGAACTGGAGTTATGGATGGTTGTTTGCTGCCATGTGGGTGCTGGGAATCCAACCCAGGTCTTCTACAAGAGCAGTCAGTGAACCATCTCTCCAGGTGCCATGCAGGCCTGGAACTTTATATGTAGACTAGGCTAGCCTCCATCTCAGATCTTCCTGCCTCTGCCTCCCAAGTTCTGGGATTAAAGGTGTATACCACCACACCTAAATAATAATTTTTTAAAAAAAGAAAAAAGAAAAGGAACTGGAGAGCCAGGCATGGTGGTATACACCTTTAATCCCAGCAGAGGTGGGTGGATATCTGTGAGATTGAGATTGAGATTGAGGCCAGCCTGGCCTATATAATAGCAAGTTCTATACCAGCTGTAGTTACAGGGAGACCCTGTCTCAAAAAAAGAAAAAAGAGAAAACAGGAGTTGGAGATATGGTTCAGTGGTTAACAGCACTTGCTACTCTTGTAGAGGACCAGAAATTTGGTTCCTGGCACCCATATCAGGTGGCTCACAACTGCCTTTAACTCCAGTTCTGAGGGATCTGACTCTTACAACCTCCATGAATACCTGGGCTCACAGGCACAAACTCACAGTCATTCACATATACACATAAATAAATCTTAAAAAGAAAAAAGACCCTGTTACTGATCTTATTTCATTATCACTGAGCACCTCCAAATAAGTAAACTTTCTTTTCTTCTTCTTTTGAGACCCCTGGCTGTCCCAGAACTTGCCATGTAGAACAGACCGGCCTCAAACTCATAGATCTCCTGCTGCCTCTATTTACCAAGTCCTGGGATTAAAGGTATATCACGTCCGATATTAAGTATAACTTTTTAAAAAAGTAGTTGTTTTTGGCATTAGCAGCAACCAGTTAAGTGCCCTTTTCCTGCCCACTTCAGTCCTTGAGGCAGAGGACTTAATAGCTGCTAGTTCATTCTCAGTCACCCATGCTTCCTAGTTAAGAGAGTATTGCAGCCAGGCATGGTGGCACATGCCTTTAATTCCAGCACTCAGGAGGTAGAGGCAGGGGGATCTCTGTGAGTTCAAGGCCAGCCTGGTCTACATAGTGAGTTCCAGGCCAGCTGGGGCTATAGGGAGACCCTGTCCAAAAAAAAAAAGAGTATTGCATAAAATTAATGAGGGAAGTGGGATTGAGGGGCTCTGACCTGGGTATCTATGTGTCCTCAGCCATCTTGACGTACAGGCTATGGCCACATGGCTCTTCAAGAACCTCTGCTTTCTCTGTGAACAGACAGAAACATCTTGCTCATCTGCTGATGTTGTTGAGGCCATGCTTTCTGGTATGTCCATAGCAGGTGGATTCCTGGGGATGATTCGTCTTGACACTGGGGAATAGTGCCTTCTCTATATTCCTGTTGACTTGGGACTTAGCATGGCACCTTCTCACCAAGTCTATTATGGACTTCTGTTTCCTCGAGTAGTGGAGATTCTTGAGAGTCAACTTGGTGACAGGAGTTGGGTTTTCCCTTGGGGTGGCCCCAGCCCCTTTTGCTGTCTGAACTACAGACTTTATACTGCCAGGAGTCCCAGAGGAGTGACACTAAGTGAAAGATGAGAAGCATGTACTCTACATGGGTGGCTTGTGGGTTTCTTTTGTTTTTTGAGATAGAGTCTCACTCTGTAGCTAGGCTAACCATACACTCAAGGCAACCCTCTTTGAGTGTTGTAAGCTCCCAAGAACTGGGATTATAGACATGAACCACCATGCCTGGCTAGCTTGTATATTTCTTTGTTCGCAGAAGATACTTTTCCAGTGGTATGAGGTACTTGTGTTTCCTGTAAATCAGTCCCAGCTAGGTAAAGTTTAAATCAAAGATAAAACAGAAAATCTTAATTTCAGGTCTCCTTATTCTAATCTTTAAAATTGTAAAGTCAGTTTGCTTTCTCATTCCTCAGAACATGATGCTTCTGTTGGGCATTGTGTCTCTCAGACCGTAATCCCAGCTACTCAGGCTGGGGTGATAGGACTATGAGGTTGAAGCTGGCCTAGGCAAAGTTTCAAAACAACAGTTTCGAAAACAACAAAACACAAAAAACCCAAAAGGATGGGATGCTTTAGGTCTTTGAGTCAATGATGTCCAGGCCAGCCAGTGCTATATAGTGAGACTATCTCAAAAAACCAAAGCAGGGAGGGAGGAGAGAGAAGAGAGAAGAGCATAAGTCAACTTATTAAACTTGTTGGATAGATGCTTGTGTCCCAGTCAGGTGGGCAGGGGTAACCACAGAAGCTCCCATGGGGTTAAGTGCTCTGTACATGGACAGTCCCCTCAATCTGCACATACCCATTCCACTGCTGTTTGGAGACCATGATGCATATAATTACTTTGGGTTTTGGGGTCTTTCAGGTTTTGTGCAGCTATTAGTTTTGAAGGGATTTCAGGAAAACTCAGATCTAAGAAGACCCTCGGAACCTGAAAAGATGTCCCAGGTAGGAAAGAAAAGTAAAAGATGCAGAATTAGACTTTTTTTTTTTTTTTCAGTCTTTTTGAGACAGTGTCTCCCTGTAGCTCCAGCTGTCCTGGAACTCACTACGTAGACCAGGCTGGCCTTGAACTCACGGAGCTCCACCTGCCTCTGCCTCCCGAGTGCTCGGATTAAAGGCATGCGCCACTACACCCAGCTAGAAATAGACTTTTTTGAGTCTTATGTAACCCAGGTTGGCCTCAAATTTCCTATGTAGCCAAGGATGCTCCTGAACTTCTGATCCTACTGCTTCTGCCTCCCAAGACTGCTGGAATTATAGTTTTGTGCACCATTCCCAGTTTTATGTGGTACTAGGGATTGAACCCAGGGCTTATCTCTATAAATCCAGCCTTCCTTCCTGTTAAAAAACAGAGCTTACGTAGATTTATTAAGGAAATGAGAAAGAACTCCCAAGAGTGGAAGAGGCTCCAAGGGGGAAAACCTTAAAGCCAGTTTCTTATTTTGCTTCAGCATCACAAGATATTCTCTTGTGTATTGTCACATGTGACTACTTGGAAATTACTGATTAATGGGAATTCATGTTCTGTTGACAGGTTGCAACTGATGTACTGCAGAGAATGCTGGCTTGTAAGTTGCTTGCTCTAAGCCCCAGGCCATAATGACTAGTCGGCTTATTAGCAATTCCAGCAGGCTTATGTCTGCTTCACTGTGCAGACCTTGGCTCTCAAGCTTCCACCTTTTGTTTCAGCTGTCAGTTCCTCATGACTTCACATGTAATTTTTGTCTTTTTGAGACAGGGTTTCCCTGTAGCACCAGATGGCCTCAATCTCACAGAGATCTACCTATCTTTGCCTCCCAAGTGCTGGGATTCAAGGTATGTGCCACCACACCCAGCTAGATTTAATTTCTTGAGCTGTAGCTGGGATGTAGCTCTGTGGTAGAACATTAGCTTAGTGTACTCAATCCCCCAAACCATATTTCTAGAGCTATAAAGTAATACCAACTTATTACAGAATTCAAAGTTATGTGTATTCTCATGAATTTTAAAACTTGCAGACCCTGCCGGGCATGGTGGTGCACGCCTGTAATCTGAGCATTCAGGAGGCGGAGGCAGGTGGATCTCTGTGAGTTCAAGGCCAGCCTGGTCTACATAGTGAGTTCCAGGCCATCTAGGGCTACTGGGAGACCCTGTCTCAAAAACAGACAAAAACAAAACAAAACAAAAACAAGACTTGCAGACCCCGATGCCCTAAAGGTACTTAGGACCTGGTATCATCCAGGGAGATTCTGGGCCTCTTGGAGTCCTGTGACTTATTGGCCCCTTTCTGAGAGTACTCTGGATGACCCAGGACAGGCAATTCATGTGGCTAATATTTGTTTTCTGTCCTGTGTTCTGTTGACAGTTGCGCTTGATGCTCTGGATGCACAGGAGGTTTCGACTCACCAGGCAGTTAGGGGCTGGTATGTTTGGGAGGCCTGCTGTGCATGTAGAAAAGTGCTCTTGCTCAACTAGGAAACATTAAACACTTCCATGATAGCAGTAGCTAACCAGGCACTTTCTGCTGCTGTTTGTGATGACTTCAGGGACAATCACTGCTAGAGTATTGGGAGCTCTGTCAAGCCTTCTCTGAGGTGGGGCAAGAGATCACCCCTTACTACAGGATCCTGTTCTGCTTCCAGATTTCCTGGGGAGTGGGATCTCAGAGATCCTTATAGCCCTTCCCTCCTACCTTGTGCCCAGCGTGACCTCTTCCCATGTACCTGTTTTCACCTTTGGTGCGTGGCTCCATCCTTCCTAATCTGTTTCTAGTCTCCTGCCTGCTTTGAATTCTTAATGGTCTCAGATTCTTCACTTTTTTCTTATTGAAACTGTATTCCCCTGGATTCCATTTGATACCTGTGGCTTCATGGCCTGAGAAAGTGCTTCCTAGGCTTAAAGAAACACCAATGAGGCCAGACATGGTGGTGTACGCCTTTAATCTCAGCATTTGGGAGGCAGAGGCAGGCAGAGCTTTGTGAGTTCAAGGCCAGCCTGGTCTACATAGTGAGTTCTAGGCCAGCTAGGGCTGTAGGGAGACCCTGTCTCAAAAAGACCGAAAAAAAAAAAAAAGTGCCAGTGAGCCCCATTGGTGCTTAAATGTGGTCCAGGCTAGGGGCAGTGTTTGCTTCTTGAGTACCCCTTTATGGTGTTTGCAGGTTTCGTGTGTACACTGGGCATGTATGCTGTGGTTTGACTGCATTGGATTCTGTGAAGAGGTTCTTCCATCATGCTCTAACTCAGATTCTGACTCACAAACCTGTGCTGAAAGGTAGGCTGTGGTGCTATGACTGCAGTCCTCTGCCCATCCTGGTGTCTGTTCCCCTGTTGTCTTTGTGATGCTCTGGCCGAGCAAGATGTCAGGAGCCTTAGGCAGATTTGTGGCTCTGTCCTCCATAGTAGCTTGAGCCCTGACACCTATGAGTGTGATAGAACACTTTTAAGACCCTTTGAGATCATGAGGGACATTTTATTACTAAATATTCTTTCATTTGGAAGTAATTTCTTGGGCTGGAGTTGTAGTCCATTGGTAAAGCACTTGCTTAGCCTACATATGTCCCAAGTTTGATAATCCCTAGCACAAAAAATAGAAAAGTATTTCCTTATAGAAAAAAAAAAAATCTGACATTTTATCTGCTCAAAGAATTATCAGCAGGTACCTAGACACAAAGGCACATATTTCAGTTACAAAATAAAGTTGTCTCTCTGAATCCCCAACTAATTTTCTGTGTTACTGAATCTCTGCCTTTGGTCCAACTACCTGCTGGTAATTCTTTGTCATATTCACAATAAATATTACCCAAGCATCAGCCAACCTCAGATCAGAAATACTTTAAGGAAAAAAAATTTTGCCTGTACTAAATGTATACAAACTTTGTTCTTATTGTGACTTTTACAGTCTTAACAACTATTTACATAGCATTTATATTGACTTAACTATAAGAAGTAATCTATAGGTGATTTTAAATTACATGGGTATGCGTCGATCTGTATGCATTTGCCACTTTATACAAGGGACTTAAATACCCACTCTGACATACTTGTGGTCCTGGAACCAAAGCCCCATTCATACCAAAGAATGACCTCCGTTAACAAAAGAAACGATTACAGTGAGTGTCAGTAGTACTTGAAAAAATAAAAATTAAAGCAAGATTGTCTTTTCACACTGAAGCTTAAAAAAAATATATATATATATATTGGTTTTTTTGAGACAGGGTCTCCTTGTAGCCCCAGCTGTTCTGGATCTCACTATGTAGACCAGGCTGGCCTTGAACTCACAGAGATCCACCTGCCTCTGCCTCCCAAGTGCTGGGATTAAAGGTGTGCGCCAACACGCCCAGCACATTTTTTTTTTTTAATATATGTATACTGAGTTGAAGTTTTCTTTTTTCTCCCCAGTGTCTGATGCCATTCAAATGCAGAAAGAGTGGAGCTTTGCAAAGACTCACCCTTTGCTCACCACCCTGTACTGCAGGGTGAGTGTCGGGTGGGGTTAGAGCCACTTTGTGCAATGGGGATTTGTGACTGGCTCAGATTGATTCCAGTGGACGCTGCCAGTGTGGGCAGGTTCAGGAGTCTCCAGCAACATACAGCTGCTCTCATCAAGGCTGCATTTCTGGATCAGGAGACTGAACTCATCCTTAGACAGAGCCCTTCCTTCCCAACCTTTCTGATGTTGGGTAGGAAGGCTTGAGGGAGGGGAGAGGCCAGTGCCTTCTGGCATTGGTCTACTTGGGTACTGAAAGGAACCGGGGCTTTCATTTCAGCTTTTTGTGATGCTGAGTCCAAAGGAGTCAGTTGACTGTTTGCAGGAAGTCCTGGAGATGCAAGAGGTTAACTGGCAACATGTGCTCTCTTGTATGTCTACTTTGGTGGTCTGCTTCCCTGAAGCACAGCAGCTAGTTAAAGGTATGCCTACATGGGAGCCCCATTGTGCTGTTGAGTGTGTGTGTGTGTGTGTGTGTGATTTGCATACTATGTCAGTTGACTCTAAACATTAGAGAGTGAGCCCATCAGTGATGCCCTCATCACCTACCCAGAACATATAGAGCCCTTGTCTGTTGGTGGTTAGTGCTTTTTCTGTGAGTCTCAGGCAGTTTTGTATTTAGCATGCAGTGCTTATTACCATCTTCTGAAAGCTAGTGTTTGAGTGTATACGTATCCTACTAGCTTAGATAATCAACAGTGGAGCTCACATTTTGTGAATGAGCTCCCCTCATCTGCCTCCTGACTATGTATGTCATGATCTCACAGATTGGGTGGCCTGTTTGATGGCCCGTGCCTTTGAGAGCTACCATCTGGACAGCATGGTCACTGCATTCCTGATTGTGCGCCAGGCTACACTGGAGGGCCCCTTCGTATTCTCATCCTATGCAGACTGGTTCAAGGTAAGTTACTAGGATTATCAGTTCTCTGACAAACTGATGTTCCCAGAGGGCTGTGGGTAGGAACTTGTCATTCCATGATGTATTTTGTGATAAGAAGATCAGTTTTGCCAAGCTTGACCTAGACAGACCCTCACTTGTGTCTCCAGAAGCCTTTAAGCTATGCTCTGCTCATAGGCCAGAGGCTCTGTGTCCTTGGGTTCTTCACCTATGTTTTGGAGCCTCCTTTTCTCTCTCTCTCTCTCTCTCTCTCTCTCTCTCTCTCTCTCTC